TTTTTTTTAAACAATCCATTGTTAGAGCGTGGCAAACAGAGTGGAACAATACCACTTTCAAATTAAGTGTGATAAAGGATTCTGTTATTCCCTGCCTTTCCTCATCCCGATATTCTAGGCGTGAGGAAATAATTCTAATCTATCTTCTTAACAGACCCTGCTACTTTTCTCATGGTTTCCTCTTTCAAGGTGAATATCCTTCTGTCTGCAACTCGTGGAGGGCAGTTCTTTCTGAAGAACACGCCCTCCTGCATCGTCTGAAATTTGTTGGCAGCCGACAAAGACATTGCATGGGCAACTCCTTACAGGAGGTGCTCGGTGATGACGATTGAGCACTCTTAGCTTTTTTGTTTTTTTGAGAGAAAGTGGAATGTATAATTTTTTTTGAGAGATAAGGACATTAATGAATATGTTTCTTGGCTCCTTTACAGCCAGCTCTATGTTTGTTATAAATATTGCATGATGGTTTTATTGCGTTTTAGCCTTTTTTTAGATTATGTACATGCTTTTAATCAGTTGATAAGTTGCATGTACAACTTTCCTTTTATTAAATCTATTTAAATTTTTTTTAAATACTTTGGCATCGGTGCCTGTGATCTCAGTAGTTGAAGTAAACGTCAATCAAAATCAAATCCTCTAACATTATACATTTGTCCATGGTAGCTTTGTGGCCCGATCTCGAAGCTTGTTCCATTGTTCTGGATGAAGGAATCCAGTTCTTTAGTTACACACAAGATTGGTCTTGCATTTCATACACAGTTGCTTGTCTGGCCAAGACTATAGAAGGATTAGGTTATAGATGAACTGAAACTCGAGGTTATTAAAATTGTGCAATTTTGATCTAATTTGCACAGAACACTGGTACTCACAAATTTAAATATATTACATGTATGTACATATGTACATCTCTAAGGTAAATATTTAACAATGTGAGAAAGATTTTAAAAAACAATTATGTAAATTTTGAAAAATAAAAGTGGCATTGATGTCATGTTCTTCAGTGCATTTAGTTCTACAAATACAAAATGTTTAATGAAAAAATTTCGAGTAGGTTTTGAGAAAATCTTAGTTTTAAAATTGCCTACATTTTGCTCAAAATTACGTGAAATGTACTGTGGGACTGTGCTTTATTCTAGCAAAAAATTTGAAGTCATTGAGAAAAATTGTTTAATGTCTCTGGGGTATCATATAAAGTACGCTCAAAAAATGAAGAGTTTCGTATCAAATTTGTAGGGCCACAAGTCAGGCCAGATTGATCAGAGAATATTTATTTTAGGGAAAATCCTGTGAACGATTTAGGTGCTATTGATGGTGATGGGCAAACATTTGTTGTTTTGTAAAGTATTTTTCACATTGTTAAAATATTTACCTTACAGGTGTTTTTAATACAAGTAATATATTAAATTTGGTTAGACCTGAAAACCTATATTCCCATTAAAATTTTGGCATCAATTTTCTGCAGCAGTAGGCCTACATAACTTTCTCTATTCAATGCTTATTACTTCATAAGGGTTTAAACCTTCACACTTATGCTTCCTAGTATGAAATGTATCCACCTGGGAGTTTGGTACCATGCATATCCAGTTCTAGATCTGATATTGAGGGATAAATCGCACTGAAAAGGAAATATTTTTCTTCTTTGAGTAGAAAATATTTGATACTTTAGGAGAGAGAAAAAATTGCGGTCAGTTTCCAGAAAATTTTGGAAACTCCCCAAATTTAAAATATCGTAATGATCTCTAAAACAGCTCTACTAAATCTTACTTCAGATATAATTACCAAGTTTCAGCTCAAAACTTATAATCTGACAGATGTGTCTCATATATATTCATTTATCCATCCATCTTTAGAGACATCCTGATTTTTGGGTACAAAATTGTGTATATCTTTTTGCGACCTGCCCCAATCTTAATAATCTTTCGAATATAACAAATGAATGTGTATCCGGACGTGTGTGCAACATGAGGGCTCAAAAATGGACCTCACAACCAGAAACTAGAAATTGTATTTCTAAGGTAATTCCAATACTTTCTGTTCAAAAGGTTTAAAAAAAAAAAACAACAACATTGGAGTTGTTTTTAGAAATCATACTTTTGAAATTGCCCATATTTCATTCACAATTTTGCAAAAAATTAATAATTTAAAAAAAAAAGTGAACATGACATTAATTAAAGAATAAATCATGTAGAACAAAGTTTATTGGAAGAAAATCTGTATCATTAACGATGTAGTTGTTTATGTGGGCCCAAAAAATTTCACACTTTAATTTTTTGAAAATTCTGTGTTAAGTCAAAATCAGACTTACTCTTCTTTATAAATGTATTCCACTCTCTTCTTACAAGCAATTTAATAAATTAAATAAATTTGGTGTCATTTTTGTGAAAAGTTGATAATGTCCCAGAGACTTCATATGAAGTACCCCCAGAATTCATAGAAATCTTTTCAAAATTGCAGGGCTTTGGGTAATATTAATTTTGGCAAAAATATTTTGAACAATTAAGTCCTTAGTGTTGATCACGGATGGAAATTTTGGAAAAAACAATGTTTCAGAATCAGACTCCCCAAAACAATGAAACCTCGAAATCCTTTTTCTGCAGCATTGCATATATTCTCTTTGTACGTACATTACTCTGTATATTCATACTTATATAAGAAAGTAAAAGGGTGAATGATGATTCGTATAAAATAGTCTCATTAACAACTGTTACAGGATTTATTTGTTATCACTAGAGCTCGGAAGTTCAGGCATTTATTTTTACTGGAATAAGCATGCAAAACCGGCATTTATTGTGTCTAAAGTAGGGAGCAAATTACTGGTCACACTAAAAAAAATCATCATTTGAATGTAATTAGTGTAAAAAATTAATAATTAAAAGATTCACATTTTTATTTTAACTCTAAAATTTACATTAGCACTTTTGTGGAAGGAAACTACCTTTTCTTTGTAATTTTGATCCTACATGACCATTCGATTGACAACTACAAATTAACTTTACTCGTAACCTTGTATCTATGAAATGCTATTGTGGACTCCCATTTGAATCTTGAAATGGTAACAGTGAAAACAGAATTGTAGATTTCGATTTAGGATGACTTTTCTCATGAGCGAACAAGTTTATAAGCAGCAATGAAAAATATTTAGAATATTCACTGGTATGATCTTCCTTTACCTGTTAGATTTCTAACACAACCTGATACTGGAGCTTCCACATCTACAGAAAAACAATACACGTCTGTGCCTTGATGTTGATAGCAGGTATGTTTCCAACTTGATAGAGATTGGTGTCAGGAGGGGAAAAATAACAAAAAAGGGAGAAAAGGACTCAAACAAGGAAGAAAAAGACACAAATAAGGCAAAATGTCAAAAATAGGCATCGGAAGGTAAAATAGGCACTAAAAGGCAAATTGAAAATATACTAAAATAACTCCAGAAGTACAATTAAGCAATTCCTATTGTTAAGTCTTAAAATCGTAACATTTATATAGAAAGTTATTTTGCTAAACTTCCGGGCTTTAGTTATCACAAATATTAATGTATGCCTTTTCCTAAATCTCAAGTAATATCTTACTTTTAAACTTTTTTTTTTGTATGTTTGTGTTTCAGTTGATTGTTGTTGGTGTCTGGTCTTACTGGGTGGATATAAGCTGGTTGTATGTGCTTGCAACAGGGTGTGAAGAAAAATCTAAGATAAACAGCAAGCAGTGAGATACAAAACCACCAGTAATAGACATCCACAGCCTATGATATTGGCTCACAGCAATAATTAAAGGCCAATTATTTTCATACAGTGATTCATGTCTCTGTGAATTTAACCATTCTTCTTTCTCTTTATTAATATGTTTCACAACGCATTTGATTCTTAATATTCTTTTACATTTGTCTTTAGTTCTCTCCAGAATTTTATAAGACATTTGGTTAAATCATTTACTGCAGTTTTATCATATTCAAGTTCCTTGTCATAATGTCATAAGTAATATTCTGTGATGTTCATTAACTTCACTGTGTATTAGCTTTTACATAGTTTTCAACTGATGGTTCTTCATATAACATATCTGACATTCCATGCAGTTATTGAAACTGTAAAATTCTCAAACTCTTCTAATGTGGCTAGTTTTAAAATGTGCCTCTTGAAATTAACCATAAATCTTACTACTTTTTTCCTCATAGGACATTCATAAGCTGATATGTGATTTCTATATTTAGTTTGTATGTTTGAATATTCTGCTGTGTGCTGTTTCCACAGAGAATGCTATTGTGAAGTACTGCCATGAACTTGATGTGCTTGTTTTTTCACTGATGGGACTGTTAAATATTGTCTTCTCTTTTTGCATCACTCAAGAGGTTTTATTTGTGAATTGAATAACTTTTTGTTAACTTTTATAATTGTGATATAGATCAGAAGGTATCATGTATATGTCAGGCTGTTTGTGGAAGTTCTTTTATGAATATTCCACTTGAATTGTACGTTGCAAATGTACTAATTGTATGATATTTTTACAAATAATCATTACTTATCCTCAGGTACTATAGCAATTGACTTTCGCTTTCTCAACTTAAGTAATGTCCTACCTATTGTAGTATTGAATTTTATTGTAAAACTATTCATGTTGTTGACGGTATTGTTCCTTCGGCTTTTGTTCTGTAATGTGCAAATGTAATTCTATATTATTTCAGCCAGTATTCTTGTTTTTTAATTGAATTTACAAAACTAGAGAGCATTCTTATGTTGCTGTAAAATATGAGGAAGAAGAATTATTAAGGGGAAAATGTGACAGATCTTCCTTAAATAAAGAAAGGAATTGAAATCCCATCAATACTATTCCTTAAATTATTGTTCAATGTGATCTAGTTTATTGCCATTTTATTAGAAAGTGATTGAAACGATTTTAAAATAGGTTTCTTAGGTAATTTTAAACCAGTGTAACAAATGGACATTCCTTCTTTTCATAACATATTTTAATTTTGCATGTATGTTCGTGCGCATTTTTATCTTTCCTCGAGTTCACATATGATATTAGGTTCTTTTTCTTCCTTTTCTTGTAACATTTCTGTTTGTTTTTTATATGCTGAGTTTTACAAAGAATGTTATGAATCTGTGATAACTACACAATATGCTTTATGTGATCTAGTAATTTAATAATATAACAATAATTATTCTTCTGCTCCAAACATGCACAGCATTTTCTCAGGGAAATAAATACTAAGTTTGTGACAACTTTCTTCAGAGATACTATATATAAATAATTGTGTAGAAGATGCTTCAAATGAAAATTGAAAATTATATTAATGCGATGTTATTAAATCAGAACTAATAGAGCGGAAGCGTCATGTTGTCGCTGTAGTTTTGGGGCTAAATAATATTAATGTTAAATTTTATTGGGCCAGATGTGTTTTGAGAGTTAAGAATTCTGAAAAGTTACTGAACCTTTGGTAATTGGTACTACTTGTCATGTCCGTGATATATTGAAAAATATTAGTAATGATTTTTGTAAATATTAAGAATGAGATTGTTTGATATAGTTTTGAGAGTTGTCACTCTTACAATAAATCAGGTTCCAATTTGAGTTCTTCAGTGAGCTTTCCTGATATCAAAAAAGTTTTTAATTAATTGTTGTAATTTGAGAAAAAGGTTTCTTTAAAGTTAACTCAATTTTACTGCATAATTTGTTAACTCAAAATATCCACAAAGGTTTCTTTTACAAACAAATTGCAATATAAACTAAAAACAAATGAGTTGTTTTTTTGTAATACATTTTTTGTTAATTTAAAGGAATTGAAATACTGATGAGCTTGGAACTTTTATAAAAAGGTTCAATTATCAGTAATTTTATTTTAAAACATTTTCTGGACATGTTTACTCATTGTTATGTGTAATAAATTTACAAACACTTAAATATGGTTTACTTCTGAATGAAGAAAGACTGGAAATCATGATTATATTATTAATATCCATTGCATTTTTTTCTCTCACTAAGCACTTTTCTTCTTAATGTTTGAAATTAATAATAGTAGAGGATATTTCAAAAGCTGCCACACTTGGTGAAACAAAATGTTCAAATAATGTTTGTTAATACTCTAAAATACTAATATATTAGGAAGACTTGTTACAGTTTTGAGATTATTAATTTTGCTGGGAGATTGTAGTTTATACTGCTGATTGAGATACTGTTTCTGAATGTGTTGAAAACAAATATATTAACAAATTCAGTTGTGGAGAAAAGTAATAATGTGCATCCATTAAAAAAATTAATCATAATATTTCACTTTAAGGGGGCTATGACTAAGCAAAACTGGTGTTCTTGTTTTAGGGAATAGCTATCTAACTTTTATGTTATGTCAGTACTATTGTGTGGGGGTTTTAAATGTGAATATATCAAATAATATTGAATCTCAATCAAGATCTTTTTGTAAACTCAGTATTGTGTTACCATCATAGAGGAGGTTTTTTATTTACTTTGGGTGTGAGAATTTTACTGTATTTGTAATCTCTTTTCGTCCTTTTTTCTCTTGTTCTTTGAGGCACATAAACTCCAAATAATATAGTTTCTATTAATAATGACATTAAACATTGGATTAGTGATACATGATCTAGGGAAGATATTGGCTTTTTAAATCTTCTTAATGTCATTCTTCTTCCTCATTTTGTTGTTATGAAGAATTAATTTCAGTAATAAAATATGACTTTTTAAATAACATTTAATGGTTATAACATACTGTATGATTTTATGACATTTGCTCTTCTAGTGTAATCCCTTCTGAAATATATTTAGTTTGTATAATTATTAAAAAAATCATTGTTAAAATATTATGATCTACAGACTTCACATAAAATTATTATTGAATAACACTTTGATGTGATAAATACTGAAATACCAAAATTATAATTACTTCTACAACTAAATAGCAAATTTGTGCGAAGATTTTGTACTTGCTATTATGTATATAGATTCTTTCCAGAATAAAAATGTTAGCTTTTATGATTACAGTTATTATTCACTAATTATGTTTCATTCATATTATTGAGTGTCCGGATACAAATAGATAGTAATTATTTAGAAAAACTTTCGAATGGAAAAAAAAAGAAAAAAATAAACAAACAAAAAACCAAACGTTATTCCAACAAAAAAATTTGATATTTCTCTTTCAAGAATTTTCAGAGAGTACTGACAGACTCTAGACCACTTGAATCTTTGATCTGAGTGCCTCCAACTCACTCTGAAAGTTTGGGAAAGGTGCTTCTTGTAAAGAAATGTGATGTTTTGTTTTTCAGATAGTTTTCTGGTCAATAAACCATTTTTCTTACTACTTTGCTCATCGTAGTGATTCGGAATTGTTGAATTTTTTCCCAGTGTTCATTGCTTGATGTAGGTTTTGGTATTTTGGAAACATTCTGGATCAGAAGACATTTCATTCAGTTCCAACATTGTTTTAATTTTCTCATTCAAATGGCATTTACACAGCTGGAAGGTACGTCTGTAGTCCATGGTCTGCATGGTCTGCTTGCAATCATATCCACAAGTAGAAAAACTGCATTTTGAACATCAATGCCTCAGGTTGAGCTCAAGATCCAGTGCAATTCCTTAAAAAGCTACAATTTTTCACATGATAAACAAAACTGTATATTAATTAAAGTAACATTTGCTGGAGAGAATTGTTCTAATTGTGATATTATTTTACTTTTTTTTTCAAATCTGTCTCTGGCAACTCTCTGACCCCACCTGCTGGGTCCAATTCTTCTAATTCCTTGAGTTGACTCTTGTATTTCTTGGTCTCTTTTCTAATTCCACGAGTTGATGAAAGTTGTCCTTTTGCTCTACTAATTGTTGATTATTGTATATTTGTTGAGTTTTGTGTATTCTGAGGTGTTCTATAATTTTAAACAAATTAAATAGCACCCATGGAAATGGGAGATTTTAATTCTTACGTAAGATTTCTGTCAACTTCACAGTTAAGTTTGGAAGCAACCGTTAACCATGCTGACTTATTTTATCCATAGAAGGTTCAATCACTTGATTATTACTTTGAATGATTCTTACTTTTGTTTCGTAAATGCATTCCAAAGTGTTATGCTGCTGTTATTCAGTAATATTATATGTGGAGTGAATGGGTGTGTTTTAAATGTGATATGAAGAGGTACTGGTTGATTTTCATGTAACAAATGAAGATTTCTTTATTGTTTGCAGTGATCAAATAAACAATGCTCCTCACAGAACCTCTTCAGATGATTGAAAGCGAGCACCCATATTTTTTGTGTATTTTCAATGTTTCACGTGTAATAACAAGGAAAGATAATTGTAATTTTTCACCTAAAGTATTGCTTTAGGGTGGTGGTGGTGAAGAAGAAAATTGAAACTAATGATTTTCTCTAGTTAGTGGATTAGTTAGTTATTAGGAAATGAAAATTATTATTTCTTGGTGAATTGAACAATTGAAAAGTGTTTGAATTAAATAAACTGATGACTGTTAAGCAGTAAAACCTTACTCATTGAAGGAACAATGACTAACGCAAAACAAATTTCCAAACTATTATGTGCCAAAATACAAATAATATAACATAACTTGTTTAATTGTGTAAAGCTAATATCATTTTAGTGTATAATAAGTTCAAAAGTGGTTCAGTAATATATTCCTGCGATTCAGGAAAGAAATAATATTGGTATTGTGTTTGCTCATTTTACTGTATTTATTCTCGAGCATTAATGCTGACTCTGAAAGAACTATCACCATCCTAATGCAAATCATTAGTAATAAAAATATTTTAATGCTACATGAACTTGTAAGAATTGCCTGCTTTACTCTTATTGAAAAACCTGGAATAAGTATGAAAGTAAACTTGCAGCTCCAGAATAGGATTCTGTATTACATGTTGTTCTATATTCTCATTCTATACTTTAAGAAATTTCACTAAAATAAATTGACTCAATCTTATCCATCTAATAGCATACAGAAATAAGTTGAATGTGGTTATATGAATGTCATTATTCACACATTCCATGCTATCTGTTAATTGGATGAGGAATATTGTATGTTAATGCCAATAAAATAGTTTTAATACTTATAACTATTACTGTTCACTGAACGTTAAAAGTGGTCACTAGTTTCATTATCTATAAAAAATGGATGAGTTTTCTTGTGAATTTGTTTCTGTATTTTTTCTATTTGTTGCCTGCAAGAAATATGCAAATGAACATTGTGAGTTTTGGGATGGATCTGAAAAGACTGGAAAAAGCTTCATACTCAATTAACTATTGGCTACACTTTTCATTAAGGTCTAAATTAAGTATTTTGTTTTTTCACAATCTATTCAAAAACAAAATTATTTGTGTTAGGGATTTTCAGATGAAGGTGTTCAAATGTCATAATATGTAGTGAACATTTTCAATCTTTACATCAACTCAGGTTTTGGGACAATTGCCCATCCACCACATAATTTACTCTTTGCATTTGGAATGTATGTTCACAACGTATGGTTAATTACAATGTATTCTTAGGCCGTATTAATTTAAATTTGAGAGTAAAACTCAATGCAAATATTTATAACCCTCAAGGTTGTGTGAAATAGCGTAGCATTCTTTTTGATCTCTGGGTAGATATATTTTTTGCATAATTTTTACATAAGAAACATATCACAAACTCTATAATGGCAAGTCAAATCAGCAGAGAAGCAGATGGATTATCAATGCAGTGATTGTTAATTGCAATTTGCAGATGATATGGAGGTGCTGCTGGTTTACTCAAACTTTTTCCATTATTTTCACCTGGTTAATGGTGAATAAAGCTCAGCATTTAATATTATCATTATTATTGTTAGGATCCATTAAATGTAGACCTGAGACGTGATGTATAGTTTGTCTGATTTTTTTTTTTTTGAAGCATGCTCGGGTGTCCACTATTAGTGGCTTTTTAAATGTATATTTTGACTATTACTTATAAGTAAAATGTTTTGAAGTAATATATTTACAATTTAAGAAAATTTTATATAGTAGTTGTTTTGTAATAAAATTGATAAGATTGTTAATTTCATTCATTCAAGTTATTGTAGTTTGTGAAATTCCAGAGATCTGGGTCACATTTGTTATTTTCATTGATAAATCATGTTCATTGCAAATATTATACAGAAATATATAAAAGATTTTTATTTTTCAGCACTATTTTATTTTTTGTTATGTCTTTGAATTTCTATACTCTATTGTTAATATAAATTTCTTTGTGTAGAGAATTGAGTAATTACGGTGTATTATCATTTCTTTACTTTTATGATCATTGTTTACAGCAACAGTATTGACACAGACATGATATCTTATTACATCTCTATCTGAATTCGAAGTTGTTGTGTTTGTCCTGTATTATTGAATACCAGGAAAGGTGGTAATCTAGTCAAGTTAGATTTTTCTCTACATTCTGTAGGTCATGTGTTGATGATGCCCTATCATATACATAAATATATATTAATTATTTATATATATATATATATATATATATATATAAAATATACATAGTTGTTAGATACTTTTAAATGTTGTTTGCTATATATATCTATGGATAACAGCCTGAAATGTGATTTTTCTCTCTTCCTAGTCTCTCATGTTGAGATTGTTTTTAAAAGACTTCCAGTGAATCTTTTTATCTAAATGTAACATTGTAAATAGACATTGTGCCTTTCTCTTGCCAAATTCTACAGGTGATCGCATTTTCAAAGAAGTTGTCCTTGGAAGAACTTATTCATGTAGTAGATTGTGGGCATGTGGGATCTTATCATGAATTTTAAACTGGTATGTTTTGTCTTTGGTAGTGAAAGATATAGTTATCATGGCTTCAATTATCAGATGTGTGGTAATCATTGGTGCTTCTGTTGCCATCAACAGAGAGAATAAAATACAATCTGTTATAATGAGCCTGATGGTAGGAGAGTTATTGGTGATGGTGTAGTGGTAAAGATTTTCTCTGTGTATCCTTGCAAGGGTCAGGAATTGTGAAAGTATAGATGAATAGCATTCTTCCTTTCAGGTTTCTAAATGCAAAAAGTGATAACAATGACTATTACTCTGTCATTTTATGAAAAGAATAGTAAAAGGGTTTTTTTCCCCTTCTTTTTCAAATTTGCTGGGCAAAGCCTTTTGGGAAGATTTTATTAGATTTTTTTTTTATTAGACTGCATGCTACTTTACTTTTTTTTATTTTCATGCTATTATTAAATGTATTGTTTTTTTTATGTTTGTTATAAGGTGGTTGGCTGCTTCATTGACTACTAAAAATTATTTCATATTTTATATAGAGCAGCATTCTTGGGAGATTTCTAAATAAATACAAAATTATGCCCTATATTGTATGAGACAATTAGATGTACTTGTTTTATAACATCAAAATTATGTCATTGTTAATAACTTGAATAATAGTGGAAAAAATGATTGATAGGAAAATAAATAAATTTCTTGGGACATTATGGAAGATGTCTTAAGTATTTAAGAAATTGCCTCTAAACTCTCAGCAAGAATTAATACAATAGATAAATAAAACTACATCTGTACATCGTTGTCAAACAAATAAATTTCTAACCTTCTGTTATCAAATTGGGTTGAAATTGGTGGTTACTTCTCGCGAAGAAGGTGCATTTAATAGTCACATACCAATGCCATTTCAGTACTAGCATGGGGTCCTTGCAAGACATGAGAATAAATTACAATGTAGATAAATTGAAGGAAAATTTTATGTATTTAAGAACTAATAATACACATATTTAGTAAAACGTAACTATTAGTTTCTGTCCGATTGTGTGAAAACATTTTCAGTGTGAAGGTATAGCAAAGCAATGAACAATTTTGACTTTTTTTGTACTTGCAGTTTTTTATGTGGTGAGACTAATAACTATATCCTTTTTTGAAGAACTAGTTAAATATTTACAATGGTCCTCGGATTGCACAAGTGTTATCTATACTGACAGATACTACAATAAGATTGCAATGCGTTTTTGGGGAGGTCAGATTACAAGGGATTTCCCATAGAGCTATTAAAATATGAAACTATCACTAAGAGTTTAAAAAGGTTCTAACAATAAAAGTTCTAAATGATGAAACTAACTCCTTGCCTAAACAAAGATATAAAAAAATATGCTGTGGTTATTGCCCCCTCTCCTCCCCTTCAGTCGGCAGGGGTGGATCCAGAGACAAATTTTGTAAGAGCAATTACAAAATGTTTTGGTTGAATGTGTCGTATAACATTTTGTCAAATGTTGCAGGTTACACTCAGCTCATGCTGCAATACAATTTTATTAATTTTAGTAATTATCCAAAAATATTTTTGCTTGAAAGTTTTGTGACAAGATGAAATTAATAGTTACTGAAAAATTTGAGGGGGAGAAATTTCCCTTGTTTCCCTCCCCACGGATGTGTTTGAATTTGGTATGTGACTGTTAATATAGGTGTTATTTTTATTTATTTCTACCAAAGCAAGTCATAATTATGTATTAAATGTAAATGCTGCTGTTTGTTGTACTGTAGAATGTATGTTGGTGCAACACAATCTCCTGAATCATAGTGATGAACTTTGCCACTTTCCACAACTGCTAATGATTCTTCATTAATTCAAAGGCATTTGGTGCATGATACAATAGTAGATCTCCCAAAAATAATTGTTATGTTTAATTTCAGACTATAATTTTATGGTTGCAAGTTTACAAAACATTTATATAATTTGTGTGCATTTTAAAGATAAACTAGTTCTCTCTTTCTTTAGTCATTGAATAGATATTTGAAAATAATAGAATAGATTCAATAGCTTTCAATTATCTTTTTATGATCGATTTAAAATACTTCTCTCCTAAGGCTGAATGTATAGTAATTTGAGGTATACATAATGCAATTTTCCACTTGTATCATAAGTACATATTAACATTTTTAAAGATAGTCTTAGGTAGATTTTTTTAGGAAGTATTCTATTGTAAATGGTGTATTTTTTAAAATGTGTTGACAATTAGAATTATAACTTTAGATTCTATAATGTACATTCAGTCCTAGTTTTTTTGCTATTTATGTTTTGTAGATTGTTAAGCAGTGGCTTATACTTCCAGTTCCTGAGCAAATTCTCTTTTGGCCAAGAAATAGTGGTTACAGGCAAGGGAGATAAAGGCTAAGAGTTGAGAAAAAACATTTTGTTGAGTGAGTGTGCACTATCAAATTCTGTTGGAATTATAGCTACATTGTGATATTAATGAAGCTTTTATGACTTTAAGACACTCCTGTCATCTATCTCAGTATTCCTCCAGTCATTCTTTTCTTTAAAGAGGGTTAATTCTGGTTTTGTCTTCACAAACAAAAATATTTAATTACAAATAATATTTTGATTTTGTTTTCTGTGTTAGGATATTTTTCTGTCGCTTAAGTTAAATTTCCTTAATGATATGGAAAATTTTGTTTTAACTCCTTAAGATAGTTTTTAATGCAAAAATATTCTAATTTGAAATTTCTGTTTTCTTGTACTTACAGTTAAAGGGAGAGATATCATATATTAATTTGTTTTAAGATGTAAAAATTCAGACTTTTTGATTTGAAGTGCTTATTTTTTTATGAGTATAATAACATGTCATTAAATACAATATCACACATTATACTAAGATTATAATTTTTTTTAAGTAGTTGCCACATGTTTGGACTTTTCAGATTTTTTATTCCTGTTTTCTTCTTTTCTATAAATTGAAAGAAAGACTGAGAGGCTTTAGTCAAGAGATGTCTTAAAGATGTAAGCAAACTGATTTTAGATAGCCAGGGAAGCAGAATGATTTTTGAATCGTGTGAACAATAGAATTTTAATTAAAATAATGAAATTGCATTGTGTAATACACAGAAGTAGATGAAATTAAATTCAAAACAGTGGAGCGTCATTTGCTGTGAGTATTGCAAATGATAGATGTTGGTGCCTCAGGATGAACATAACTGCCGTTTTCATCTATAGTTGTTCCTGTAGCCACATGACATTCAAATTCTTGGCCTATACCACTTGTCCTTTGACATGGTGACTCTTAATATGTTTGAAAGGGATTTCACATTGTGACAAAATTAGACAGAATCGTTACATTTCCAAATACAATGTTTGTGTGTAAATGTTCACTGTGAACATATCAATATATTACTTTTGTTTAGAAATGTTATCCAACTGTGGGAATTTTCATATTGTTTTTGTTTTGTAAACAAATTAATATGCTCTCTGATGGAAAAAGTTACTTTTTTGGTTGACAAAACTTCTGTAATTAACTTTCTTTATTTAGTAAAACAGATTAATGTTGTAATAGATGTTCTGACTTTTGCAGTAGCTATCTCAATCTGTGAATTTGCTTGTGACTTCTCTTCTTACATATTCTTCTTTATTCACTTTATCTTCTGTGTGTTCCATAATGCCACGAAGCTGTAACATTTTTATACCTAGAGCATAACTATGTAGATTAATTTGAAGTTCAGATTTATACATTTTAATGCAGAGGGGAATATTAAATCTTCTCTCATGAACTTCTTTGACTGAAAGGGAATGTTTCCTTTTCATTTCTCCCCCGTGTATTTGAGTACAAATTCTGAGAATGTTATGTGAATTCTCAACTGTCACTCGATGACAAAATAATAAATTGTCTATAATGTAGATATGTTTCAATTTTTCATGATCTTCATAATAATTTGTAATTGCAGCAAATTGTTTTTAGATCATCTATATTCTGTTATTCATTTGCACTTGAGTTACTAATTATTGGAGAACTTCTCTATTGTAGCATTCTAAATTTATCTGTAAACTCAATTGTGTATTGTATACCTGTAGAATTTTTTTTTTTTTTTGTACAGATGATTTATGTAATTTAATTCAGAACACACAGTGCAACAAATAAAACATGTAATAATATTTCAAATGTTTAAACCTTACTCAAATGTTCTTTCCTCCTGATTCCAACTTAATTTTAAAAGTGCTGCCTAAAATAATACAAATGCTGGTGTTCTTTTATATTGCATGGACTATAATATTTGCCCATTATAGTGGTTGATATAGGTTTTCGAAGAATTGTGACAGGATAAATTATTTTGGGATAATTCACAATTCCTAAACTCATTCAGTCTGTAATTCAGTCATACCTACCAATCATCAGGTAGAGTTTGATTCCAATTACTATAACTGCACAACCCATTAGGAGAGTCCGGATGGAAAAAAAAATGAAAAAGTAATAAAATCCATAGGTCTTAAGGAGTTAGTATAGAATATGTTAGTGGATCTTGATATTTTGTATTAAGCTTCAATTAAAAATGTAACACAATATTTCAAGTGTCGTTTGCAACTCCTTTTCAAGGCCGAATAAAAATTATTTTGAAAAACATAGTTAAAACTAATAAAAATGAGTAAAGTGTAAAACTACCTGACAAACATAAAACATAATTAACTGTGTGTTTTATAATATTTTCATAGGCACTTAAAACGGGGTTGCAAACTTTACCCAAATCTATGGTTATCAGACGTCCAGATTTATCAGGACATGACCTGACTCTTGGACTTTGTCCTGACTGTCCTTGTTTGTTTTCAAAAGTCCTGATTTTTACTTACCCGTTTATGCAGTAATGTAGTATAGGGTAAGGGATATAATGCTGCGGAAAATCGATTTCGAGATTTCATCAGAAATACACGTTTTGTGGTCCCCTGAGATGAGCAAGTTTATTTTTTCAAAATGTCTGTCTGTGTCTTTTCTGGCCGTCCGCCTGGGGTATGTGAATAACACTAGCGCCTAAACCATGCAAAGGATTTTTTCTGAATTGATGACCCCTGCCCATTTGGCCTGAGTCGAAGCTCTGTGATTTTGAAAATCATTAGTTTTTGGGGATACTTTACATGAAGCCCCTGGGATATTTTCAAAATTTTCTCAAAATTGGCTCCAAGTTTTTTTCTTTGAATTTCTGATAAGAAAAGAGTAAAATGCATTTATAAATGTGGCAATGGCCGATTTTCACAGTTAACTCAGAATTTTCGAAAATTTCAAAAGTTTGAATTTTTTTCAAGGTCTCCTTACAACAAATTAAAGACTGAGATTTTTTTCTTTGAATAAAATTTGTTGTTCATAATTTGTTCTTTCATTAAGGTCATGTACATTTTTTGAATTTTTTTAGTAGTTTTCGTGCATTATTTTGTGCAATTTAAAAAAATACAAGATATGATTTTCTCAAAAACCACTCCAAGTTTTTCCTTGAAACTTTTGGTAGGGATTGGGCTAAAGGCACTCCATAAGATGACATAAACGCTATATTCTTTCATATTGCTCTTAAACATTTTTTTTTTTAAATTACAAAAAAAAGTTATTTGTCAGTAACGTTGTTAAAATTTACATTAGCAGTAATTTGCTCACATTATTATATTTATGAGTTCATATGCTTTAAATAATGTCACATAAAGCTTCTCAAAAACTCAATCGTTTTCTGTCAAAACTAGCTCAAAATTTCGCAATTTCAGAAATGCTCAGAATGCATTAGAGGAAAAATAATTTGCTGCTTGGAAACACTTTTGCAGGTTTATATATTAGTATAATGTTGTGAAGCATTTAGAAACAATGCGAGAACGTATATGTTTTGGTTGCACCACTAGTTTTAAAACCTTCGTCCTTTCGAACATCACTTGCGCCTAAACTATGCGTGGCATTTTTTCCAAAATCAATATTCCCTGGTCGATCTCGCCCGACTCGAAGCTCTGTTCGAGCTTGAATAACATTCTTTAATTTTTGGAGGTCCGTTACAGGAAGCCCCAGGGACATTTTCAAAATTTACTCAAATTGGCTCCAAATTTTTTCTTTACATTTCATAAAAAAATAGGGGAAAATACTCTCAAAAAGGTGTTATTGGTCCTATTTTCTCTAACTTACAATTTTTCAAAATTTCTTAAGTTTGAAAATTTTTTTCCAGCATCATCCTAAAGTTACAAAATTGGTAGTTTTTTTTCTCCTTGGTTCTTTCATTCAAGTCATGTACATTTTTCTGAAAAATTTATTCGTTTAGGCATAGTGCTAAATCTCTCTCAGATGACGTAAACATAAGTTTGCTCTGTTTTGGTTTTTCAAAAATTACAAAAATGAAATATTTTTGACCTGTCTTTCACATTGTTAATATTTACATTACCAGCGATTTGTCCATATAATTGCATTTGTGAAGACATATGCGTTACATAAATGACTTATAAAGTTTCTTGAAAACAAAAGTTTTCTGTGAAAATGAGCTCAAAATTCCGCATTTTCAGGAAAGGCTCAAACGTCATTTTCTCAAAAAACGGCTTCAATTTTTTTCTTCAAGCTTTTTGCAAGGATAGTGTTAAATCCATAGTTCAAGGAGATAAAAGTTATTTTGCAATTTCTTCTGTTTAAAAAAAAATATACAAATGTAAGTTGTTTAAAAAAAATATCTCTCACGTTAATACACACATTTCCAGCGAGTTGTGTACATTATTGAATTTGTAAGTAGAAGTGCTTCAAATGACGTCCAATGAAATTTTCGAAGCTGAAAAGTTTTCTGTGAAATATAACTTAACATTTCGCATTTACGGTAACGCTTAAACGCCGTTTTCTTACAAACGGCTCCAAATTTTTCAACGAAAATCACTTTATAGGAGGAGGTTTCACTCATCTTTAATATTCATAAAGGAATATTTCGGTTGTACCATTAAAATAAACAACTAAAAATTGAGTAAATTAAAAAAAAATACTGAAGCTGTATGTATTGTAGATGGCAGCTAGCAAAAGTATGTGTGTAGAGACCGAAAACTAGCTCAGACCAAAGTAATTAGAAAACTAACTCGTACGAGAATGTCTGCCCTTCGGTAGCACGACATGTTTCAAAACGTCTGTCTGCTGTCTGCGAATAATATAAGGGCCAAAACTTTGCGTAGGATATCATCCAAATTAAGAAATCCCCGATCGATCTGGCCTCGCTCGAAGGTCTGCGATAACATTCTGTAAAATGGTGGGGTACTTAACATGAAGCCCTTAGGATATTTTCAGTTTCCTCAACAGTGGCTCAAATTTGTTTCTTAAATGTCTTGCAAGAGCAGAGTTATATACACCTCTAATTAGGCACTGGTCTGATTTTCAGGGTTAACTCTGAATTTTCAAAAATTGCAAACATTTGAAAATTTTCGGCGTCTTCATACACCTACAAAATTGAAAATGTAGAGTTTCCCTTAAAATTAAATTTGTTCATAATAAGTTATTTCATTTACGTCAGGTTTGTCCAACTGGCTGCCCGCGGTGCCATTTATTGAGGTAAAGATTTTTAGTTAAAAGATGAAGTTCCCTGCATCCATAGTGCTAAATGCAGCAAATAACATGACATCAACAATCAATAACATTTTGTTGTATTATTTTGATTTTTCAAAAATTAAAAAAAATGTATTTTTTAAAATATTTATCTCGTCGTTAATATTTACATCATGTTTTTTAGATTATTGCATTTGTGAGTACAAGTGTTTCTCAAAAATTACTCCAAATTACTAATTATGTTTCTAGAAAACTCAATAGTTATACATGTAAATGAGTTCGGAATTGCCTGTTTTTCAGAAACGCTGGAACGACATTTCCTCGAAGACACTTGGCTAGACTGATCGAAACGAATAAAAATCTTCTTGAGGATTTGAGCTAGATTCGCTTCCTCGAGTTTTGTTGGTTGTTTTCTACTTGTGTGAGTAAACGGAGTGCAGTTCAAGTTCGCACTGCGTTGCTGCAACTGGCTGGGGGTAGAGAGACAGTCAAACACCAACTCCCGTTGATAGTCGTTTATTCCGAAATGAAGAGTACAGAAAGATCTGGTTATAGCTTACAACTAATTGTGCCCCCTCTCTTGTCGAGCACCTTCGCATATATATACCCCGCTGCCTGGCGGCTACGGGCCACGTGCCGCCGGCAGGCGCCAAACCGTCGCCCGGTTTGGGATCTGTTCTGATGCAGTTGTTCTCACTTTTGAGAGAACTTCGAGTGTGACCTCACGTACACACTTGGGCACTCGTGCCCAAGTGACCACGTGTTTCAGTGGATTCGCATGCCACATCTTGATCGCAATTTCCTGAGTTCTGTTTCTTAATACCAAACAATATTACAACTTCAGAATTGATGGGTATTTTCCGGCTGCACAAGATGCGGTACTTAGGCTGATGTGGTCACAGAGATATGAGGCGCAACTGTGCGATATAACTCTCACACTTGTCAAGTTCGTGTTTTCTTTCGCATTTTTAAGAGCGTGGCCGCATACACGCGGGCTCATTTTTCCTGTCCAGCGCTGTGGCTTTTAATGTAACAGACTTTGACCGATCAACAGTGGTTTCCTTTTTATGTCTCCGACGAAAGTCCTATTGATGTTGCGACGCCAGCTGAGTGACAGCTCTTTGCCCTTGACATTCAATTATCTAGCAAACTCTGGTTGGGCACTGTTTTGATATTGAAGAATATTAAGGGTCAATAGCGCGAAAATTGTATACAAATATGTGTTTGTGATAAAAAAAATCGCATTTAAATTTTAATACCAACACTTAAAGACAGTATTATTTTGATCTACATTTACAAGTTCCATTAATTTTATCTGAAGTTTTTTTGATAATATTTCATTAAATATGGGAGAAAGCAATTCAGTTCGCTCAATCATCAGTGATACAGTAAATATTAAATATTGTTATTAGCGCTTCAGATTAAGTTCTTCGAAGGGAAATTTGAAGTAAATAGTATTACGTTTCCACTACTTCTAAATTATGAAGTGGATTTAAGTCTAGCTATCCAACGTAAAATTGTAAAGAAGGCCTTGCAATTACAGAAAATATATTAGTTTTGTGATCAAATCCAGTCCGAGGAATTGAATGAAGAACTTATTATAGTGAAATCTGGATACTGTATAAATGCCCGACTGTGAGTCGAGTGTGGCCAATAAATTAAGATTGTTTTTCATTCAAAATGTTTTGGTCAAATGGGTCATATTACAGATTATACAGAATGACGCAGGTTACACTCTGCTCATACTGCGATACGATTTTAATCGTTTTAATCATAATCCGAAAATATTTCTACGGAGTAGAGATGAGGTTATGTAATGCTGCGCAAATAAACATCCATGTTTCTGCAGAAAAAAGTCTTATTACAAGGCCCTCGTAACGAAAGAGTGGATAAATGCAGTTGCTAAAGTTAGAAAAAATTCTCCAACACGTGGTGTAGCTACAATCCATATTTTGTAGGTTCTTGATACCGAAAAATCGAATGACTGCAAAACGTCTGTTTGGCCGTCTGTGAACAACGCTAGAGGCTAAATCATACAGCCAATTTTCTCCAAAATTGATATTCTTCAATGTATCTGACTGATGTTGTGGTCCCTTGAATTTGAAACCGATATTTTAATTTTGGGAGGAACTTTACATGAAACACGTAAGACATTTTTAAAACTTTCAAAAAAATGGCATCATTTTGTTGTTGTTGTTGTTGTTGTTAGATTCTGTAAAAGACGTTTGGTAAAGAGAGTGGTGCAGGTCTCATGTTCGTTGAAAACTAATTTTTGGAAAATTGCAAAAGTTCAAAGTTTCTTCGGAGTCTTTCTACAATTAAAATATTTAAGATAGAGATTTTTTCCTTAATGGAACCTGTTCCTTAAATATATATTTTACAATAAGGTATTTTACAATTATTCGAAAATTTGAGTATTTTGGCGTGAAATACAGGCAACTTTTAATTTTGATCAAACAATGTTTTTCTCAAAAGCCGCTCCATAGTTTTTGATGAAATACGGTTGGTGGATAATGGTTTTGATCTCATGTTGGTTGAATACTCTGATTTTTGAAAATTGAAAAAATCAAAATATTTTCGGCGTCTTCCTTTTCGAAAATTTGAGTACGTTTCGCGTAATTTTCTGTGAAAATTAAGGCGAGAAAATACATGCTGTTTTGGTACCATTATTTACTTGCAAGTTTCGTGAGAAGTTAAAATGAATAGTTGCTGAAAAAAAGTTGGAGGAGGGGAATTTTCCTGTGGATCCGTGTTAATGAAGTAATGTTCTCACATTTGTTCTTTTGTTCGAATTAAAATTACTTAAGAGCACGAGATTGATCGGTAGTTGATATTTTAGCTTTTTCGCTCTTATTAAATTAGTATTAGGTGTAATTGAATTTACAAGAATATCATGTCCTATTTTTTTTTTTTTTAATTGTTCAGTTTATCATCTTGCTTGAAGATACTGTCAATTTAAACCTTGGCATTTGCCTTTTGAGGAGGGCATCTCGACCTTGCCGCTTCTTTAAGGCTCTTTGCACTGCCATCACACCTCGTTAAGACCACTTTTGCCGCCCGCCATAGTGAACAAACTAAGACAAGATGTAATTCAATGAATTGAGTTATGGACTCAAAATAACGTTCCTGGGAATAAATGAAAGACAATGCCAAAATATGAATGCCAATACACATTTCTCTTTAAGGCATCAATTACAATACAGAGTGAATGATGAAGGAAGAGAAGAGACAAAAGAATCGAGTGGTGTATATTACTGCTTAATTAGCAGAGTTGTCGACTTTGCACCTCATCAAGTTCAGCGGTATTCTTATAGTCTTCGTGACTACTCTACTCTACTTTCCTACAGGAAAGATTGACCGAAACTCTTGCTCAGTCAGCCATTCACTCCCATGGAAGATGATCAAGAATTCGTATCGGTAATAATATTTGTATTCTCGTTTAGCACTCACCTAGTGAAGAGCCATTTTTATACTTATAGAAGCAACATTTAAAAATGCAATATTTTCGAAGTGTAGTGTCGTGACTCAAAATAAAGTAAATACATGTTTGGTGGAGTATTAGTGAAAAAATCTTATTTGTTCATTTTTATTTTTTATATCACATACATAGATTATCATAGTAATGATACTTTTTACATTTTAATGTGTATTATTAACATTTATAATTATAATAGTCATCGATCAATGCCAAATTGTACGTCTTATTATTCTTATTAATTATTCTTTGTAACAAAATGAATATCCACAGGCACAGTTATGGCTGCGTGAAGCTATCACTGACTCCACGCCTTATTCAATGTTACTGGAGCCTTTCGACAACTGGAAATCTGTCACGGCAGATCACATCGATGAGGTGAGTGATTGAAAGATATTTCAGTGGTATCGTTGAGCTTGAATTAATGTGTAAATTGGGTTGGGAATTTGTCTGGTATTGGATAACTTTAAAATGATTTATCTTATAATGGAAATAAGATTGCCTAACTGGTTAGAAGTAGCGTGACCAGGTAAAGTTAGTCACATTAATTTTACCTGAAATACTCACCAAAGCGTAAACATGTATTTGGTATATTATATAATAATTTCACGACATTGTAACTGTACCCTATTTTCTAGATAATAAATTCTATGCCGCAAGTGGACACAATAATTCGAGAATGATTCTTCGTCGCAAAACAACTTTCTAGGTCCACACCTACTGCCAGTGTAGTTTCAGGGTTTCAGAAACATTTAAAAAATAACTAAGGTGTATTGCTTGAAACACTATAAATGGAAAATAATCGAAAGTTTATTATCGATTACTTTCTCGTATACATACACGGAGTAATTTATGTAGTATAGGGAAAGTTATGTAATGCTGCGAGAAATCGATTTCGTGATTTCAACGGAAATACACGTTTTTGAGGTCACCTGAAACGAAAAAGTGGTTCTTTTCAAAGCTTCCGTCTGACTATCCGTCCGTCTGTGAACACTACTAGCACCTAAACCACACTTAGGATTTTTTCCAAAATGAATAAATCCCTTTCCATCTGGCTCGAGTCGAAGCTTTGAGATTTTGAAAAACATTCTTTAAAATTTCGGGGTAAATTTTCAAACATTTCTTAAAAACGGCTCCAATTTATTTCTTTAAATTTCTGGTAAAAATAAAGTAAAAAACATCCGTAAAGGTGGCATAGGTCCGATTTTAACGGTTAACTGAATTTTCGAAAATTGCCAAAATTTGAATTTTTCCGCGTCTTCCTGAAACTATAAACTTAGATAGAGATTTTTACTTCAAATAAAATTTATTCTCCATAGTGATTAAGGTCATGTACATTTTTTTGAAACTTTTAATAGTTTTCGTGCTATACGTGCAATTTTAAAAAATAAGAAAAACAAAATTTTCTCAAAAACCGCACCACATTTTTTCTTCACACTTTTGCTAGGGATAATGTTAAATGTACTCTATCAGATAGCATAAATGCCATATTGCTTTATTCTTTTGTTTTTTCAAAAACTGCAAAAAAATAATTTTTACTTCTCTCTCACGTCGTTAATATTTACATTAGCAGTAATTTGCTCGCATTATTATATTTATGAGTACATGTGCTTTAAATAATGTCACATAAAGCTTCTCGAAAACTCAACCGTTCTTACTGAAAACTAGCTCAAAATTCTGATTTTTAGAAACGCTCAAACGCCATTTTCTCAGAAAGGATCCACGTTTTTCCTTCAAACGTTTCGAACAGATAGTGCTAATTGCACTCTTTAATATGAATATATTTTAGCTAGCCCAGACCAAAGAAAATAGAAAAAGAATACGAGAAAGTCTGTTCCATTCTGTTGCACCACTTTGTTTTTTGTTTTGCAGAAATATAGTTTAATTTGTTATTCTAAAATTGAAAAGTAGTTGACGCTAATTTCTGCTTCACGAAATTGTCATTATTTTAGCTGAAACAATGTCCAATTTCCAATTTTAGTATACAATTTCCAAGTTTTCATCTTCTGAGATGAATGTTTTGGAATTAAACCTGTTAAAGGTACATAATATGCTAAATGTAGAAATGCATGCACCAGTTTAAAAAAAAAAGACAAAATATAAGTACTCCATCTCCCATAGGGCGTAGTCACTCGCAATTATGAATATTACGATCTACTTTCAGAGTTCTGCCAACGCTACCCAAGGTATTATGATCAGTCCTTAGGATTGTTCAAGAAGTATTTCAGTGTGAGAAATATGGCCTTATTGGGAGGGAGTTATCTTGAAGAATGAGGAGTGTATATGTCGACGAATACAAGACTTGTTGATAACGGAAGATACAATTGTAATAACGGAAGATACACGCGAAATTATGAGATTTTTAAAACATATATTCATTAAACAAGACAGTAATTTACGAAATCAGAAGAAATATTCGCTATTCTTAGCTTAGTTCATAGCTTGCCTGACCGGATCTACATAGTACATTATATAAAAGTGAATGTATATTGGTTCGTAAAAGTCTATGGTCGAACTATGCTAGTATGACTATTATTAAAATCAAAATATGAAACGAGTGAACTGGGAGAAGAGGAATGTGTAAGTGCAAAAGTTGTCATGAGGCAGTAGGGCAGATACGTACGTGTAATGTTGGTACAACTGTCTGATTGTGGATATAGGAAGAGTATCTCTGGGTGCTGAAGGAAGAATTATTGAAATTGGTAAAAAATTGGCAAGTATAGATATAATAAAAATAAAAGGGTTAACGGAAAAATGGTTTTCGGAGAAATTGAACGCGTATCAAAACTGTTATTCGAAGTCAGTCCGCCGCACTATCGTTTTGTCGAAGTCATTCAGAACTGTTTACCGTGCGTGATTTCCTGCAATATTTTCTGGGTGATTTCAGAAGCACGGACCCTCAAGCCACTAGAGAAGATTTAGCAGTCTTCAAATTGGTACATTTTTTATTATTGCGTCCCAAGCAGCCGCTGTTAAACATTGGCAAAGCTGTAAATAGGGTGGCATGCGTATACTTCTATCTTGAAGAACACCATCCTTATACAGTATTCGAGTGAAACGATTCAGTGGGCGTATGTGCAGATACGCGGATGTGTGTGATTCCGTCACTCGCGGCTAACCACTTCCCGTGCACCAATCGAAACGTATGAGATGTCATTCGACGCGTCTCGGTCTCCTGATGGAGAACTGATAATTAGTTTTCGGATCCAGCTAGAAGATTCAAATAAATTTCCAAAAACGTGTGTTTTGGTGTTTTGTCGCTGTAATCTTAGCGATCATGAATTAAACCAACGCCTACTAAATCGATCTATGTAGGGGGCATTGATTAAATACCAATACCGAAAAATATTTTTAGCAAATTACGCTATAATATTCTTTTATGACTTTGGCAACACTGATATTGACATCTTTAAGTGCACAATTGAAATACCAAGTAAATCGCGCTGCTGACATAGAGTAGAGATATTGTATCTCTCCTCTATGGCTGCTGACTGATTTCAATTTAGATTCGATATAACGTATTTTAAAAATTAATTTGTGCAAACCTATGAACAGTATTGCCTCGGTATATTAATTTATTAAACTTCAAGAATTTCAAGTGAATACGGAGAATACAAAACTGTGAATAATGGTAGAGAATGAATTAACGTTATGTCCAACTTCTCACTTTTACGTTCTTACATAAGTGTAATGACCGCCAAGTGTAAGTACCGATTTTCAAATGAATGTGACCCTCAACTTATGTTTACTGAACTTAACTAACATCTTATTCACATAAACATACAAAACAGTCACCTTTTAATGTTAGATTTTCATGCAACACTAGATTCGCATATAAAACAATTAGAGCAATTGCAGAAGTAGAAGTGAACACAAATTAAACCGAGTTTGTAAAGTTTCAATCTCTTCAGAAATTAGAGGAGAAAAGTATGAAAGTGTTAAGGACGTTGCGGCAGAATTTTCGGAACTAATTGGGAATGGTCTGCATTTAGCATTTGTGCTAATGCAAATGTGCTATGTGCATCTTAGCAAAAAAAAAAAAAAAAAAAAAAAAAAAAAAAAAAAAAAAAAAAAAAGAAAATGTAAAAACGTCCTAAAATTGAACTATTAGAATCCAAACTCGCAAGTATTTGTTACGGTGATTATAGTTTTGAAATTGCAATAACACCAGTTCATATTCCATAAGATACAATACCATTGAGTGTTGGAAACGTTTGAATGTGATTGTAATATTATCAGCTACTACGATTCATTGGTTAGTCTAATGCCAGATACTGAAAGAATATATTTGAACAAAGCTGGGCATGAAAGAAATGAAGTATGAAAGAAAATTTCGACTATTCTTATAACTGTTCACACCGTCGGCGACGCCACATTTTACTAGTACACCATGTTTCGCTATTGACTTCTCAGCACCTCACTCTTACGTGTTCCTTCACTCGTATCAAACTAATTTTTGTTTGATAAAAAAACACGATAACACAAGAAACGAGTTGATAATCGTGAGAACTCCGTACTCCATCGTAATGAATTTACTTTTACTAGAAATTTAAAGAAAAAAATTGGAGCCGATTTTGACAATTTTTTGAAAATATCCGGGGGACTTCATGTAAAGTACCCCCAAATTTTAAAGAATGTTTTTCAAAATCTCAAAGCTCGAGCCAGATGGACAGGGATTTCTTCATTTTGGAAAAAATCCCAAGTGTGGTTTAGGTGCTAGTAGTGTTCACAGACACCGGACGGACGGACGGACAGACGGACGGAAAGACGGACCGATGACAGACAGACAAACGGACAGGCGGAATGACGGACATACGGACTGACGGACTGACG